ATTCGGCCGGTGCTGAGCAGATACCGAGTGGAGGTAACGGCCTTGGAGTGACTGCGGTGTCCGTGCGGAGCATTGTCTGGGGCAAGAGAGCTGTTCTAAGGAAACTGGAAGGGCAGCAGGGAGCTGGGAAAAAAATCCCCAAAAAAACAAGGAACAGGATCATTCTGTGCTGCCAGACCTGGGCAGGACAGGGAGAGAGCAACACCTGGGCTGAGCTGCAGCTCTGGGAACGTTGGAGATGGACACGGAGCTGGATCTTCTCCTCCCAAAGCAATCCCATAGTGTTCTTCATCCCACCGACCTCGGGCAAGGAGGATGGGATGTTTCTCATGTATCCCTGGATATCTAAAGGGGATTTTGTATCCAAAAGTGTGGGCACATCCCAGGGCAATGCTGGGGCACCTCTAGTGCTGGGGGCAGCTCTGGGCCCCTCCAACAAGAGAGCCCTGGAGGGGCTGGAGCATGTCCAGGGCAGGGAACGGAGCTGGGGAAGGGTCTGGAGCCCCAGGAGAGGCTGAGGGAGCTGGGAAAGGAGCTCAGCCTGGAGCAAAGGAGGCTCCGGGGGGACCTTGTGGCTCTGCACAACTCCCTGACAGGAGGGGGCAGCCGGGGGGGTCGGGCTCTGCTCCACGGAACAGGGACAGGAGGAGAGGGAACGGGACAAAGCGATGGTGGTGCTGGAGACAGAGCCAGCACGGATGGACAGAGCTAATCTGTACAGACCCAGGGGCAGGAAAAGGCCAGGATGGGAGAAAGGCAGGAAAATGAGTATCAAGGGCAGCAGGGTCAGGCACCTCGGGCTGCAGATGAGGTGAGGGGTGGGTGATTTGGGGTGTCAGGAGGAGACACCTCAGGGATCCCACACTGCCCAGAGATTACATTGCCATGGGATCCCTCTCCATGGAGAAGAAGCTCCCAGGGATTGTCCCTCTCTCATTCATATCCTCCCTTCTCCTCCTCCTCCTGCCCTAGATCTTGTTCTGGGGGCTCAGGGACCTGAAGAGAGTGAACCTGGCCCAGGTGGACCGGCCCCGAGTGGACATTGAGTGCGCCGGGAAGGGCGTCCAGTCTGCCCTGATCCAGAACTACAAGAAAAACCCCAACTTCAGCACTTTGGTCAAGTGGTTTGAGGTGGTGAGTGCTGCCCCTTCCCTCTGATCCCTCAGCTGGAACCCGGCATTTCCAGAGTCTGCTATGGTTCTGAGTCCTTTGCTCCAGATTTCCCAAAACAATGGGGCGCATGGACACCATTCCTTTCCTTGAGGGGTCCCAGGCCATGTTCTGCTGGAGCAGCTCTGAACATCTTCCTCCAGCATGATCCCGGTTCCTAACCCCTACTGACCTTCCCAGCACAACCCCATTCCTAATTCCTACTGCCTTTCCCATCACAATCCCATTCCTAATCCCGACTGAACCTCCCAGCAGGATCCCATTCTTAATCCCTACCAACCTTCCCATCATGATCCCATTCCTAATCCCTGTTGACCTTCCTAGTATGATCCCAATTCTGGTCCCTACCAGCCTTCCCAGCACTGTCCCATTCCTGATCCTTACTGGCCTTCCCAGCACAATCCCATTACTGATCCCTACCAGCCTTCCCAGTATGATCCCATTCCTGATCCCTAGTGCCCTTCCCATCACAATCCCATTCCTTATCCCTACCAGCCTTCCCAGTATGATCCCATTCCTGATCCCTACTGAATTTCCCATCACAATCCCATTCTTAATCCCTACTGGCCTTCCCAGCTCAATCCCATTCCTAACCCGTACTGACCTTCCCATCTTGATCCCATTCCAAACCCCTACCGGCCTTCCCATCAAGATCCCATTCCTAATCCCTACAGTTTTCCCCAGCATGATGCCATTTTTAATCCCTATTGCCCTTCCCAGTATGATCCCATTCCTGATCCCTACCAGCCTTCCCATCACAATCCCATTCCTAATCCCTTCTGACCTCATCACGATCCCATTCCTAATCCCTATTGTCCTTCCCATCACGATCCCATTCCTACTCCTACTGACCTTCCCAGCACGATCCCAGTTCTGGTCCCTACCAGCCTTCCTATCACAATCCCATTCCTAATCCCTACCAGCCTTCCCAGCATGATCCCATTCCTAACCCGTACTGACCTTCCCATTACAATCCCATTCCTAATCCCTACCAACCTTCCCAGCACAATCCCATTCCTAATCACTAGTGCCCTTCCCAGCCCAATCCCATTCCTAATCCCTACAGTTTTCCCCAGCATGATCCCATTCCTAATCCCTACTGACCTTCCCATCACAATCCTATTCCTAATCCCTACTGACCTTCCCATCACAATCCCATTCCTAATCCCGATTGACCTTCCCAGTATGATCCCAATTCTGGTCCCTACCAGCCTTCCCAGCACAATCCCATTCCTGCTCCCTAGTGCCCTTCCCATCACAATCCCATTCCTGATCCCTACCAGCCTTCCCAGTATGATCCCATTTCTGATCCCTACTGAATTTCCCATCACAATCCCATTCTTAATCCCTACTGCCCTTCCCAGCACAATCCCAGTTCTGATCCCTACCAGCCTTCCCATCATGATCCCAATTCTGGTCCTACCAGCCTTCCTAGCACTGTCCCATTCCTGATCCTTACTGGCCTTCCCATCACAATCCCATTCCTGATCCTTACTGCCCTTCCCAACCACCCACCCAGACACCCCCAGTCCCCGCTAACCCCCTCCCCTGCCCCCAGGACCTCCCGGAGAATGAGCTGCTGCACCCTCCGCTCAACATCCGCGTGGTGGATTGCCGCGCCTTCGGGCGCTACACGCTRGTGGGCTCGCACACCGTCAGCTCCCTGCGCAGGTTCATCTACCGCCCRCCCGACAGGAAAGCGCAGCAATGGAACATGGCAGGTACCCATGGGAACCTGGGGCACCCGTGGGGACAAGAGGGAGGTGGGATGGGTTATGAGCCACGGAACTCCTGGGTTTGGGTACAGTCCTATGCAGAATGACAAGGAAAATCCCAAGTTCAGCACTTTGGGGGTTCCAAGTGGTGAATCTCTTCTTCAGCTTTGGGGGTTTCAAATGGTGAATCTCCTCGTCCCTCTAAGCCCTCAACTGGAAGCCAGAATTCCTGGAGCCCAAACTGTGGCTGAGCTCTATTTCTGGCCTGAATCCTGTGGGATCTCTCCTGAAATCTCAATTCCTGGCTTGAATCCTGTGGGATCTCACCTGAACTCTCAGTTCCTGGCCTGAATCCTGGGTTTGGGTCCAGTCCTATTTAGAATGACAAGGAAAATCCCAAGTTCAGCACTTTGGGGGTTCCAAGTGGTGAATCTCCTCTTCCCTCTGAGCCCTCAACTGGAATTCAGAATTCCTTGAGCTCAATCTGTGGCTGAACTCTATTTCTGGCCTGAATCCTGTGAAATCTCTCCTTAACTCTCAGTTTCTGGCCTGAATCCTGTGGGATCTCATCTGAATTCTCGATTCCTGGCCTGAATCCTAGGTTTAGGTCCAGTCCTATTCAGAGTGACAAGGAAAATCCCAACTTCAACACTTTGGGGATTACAAATGGTGAATCTCCTCTTCCCTCTGAGCCCTCAACTGGAATGCAGAATTCCTGGAGCCCAAAACGTGGCTGGGATCTATTTCTGGCCTAAATCCTGTGAAATCTCTCCTTAACTCTCAGTTTCTGGCCTGAATCCTGTGGGATCTCACCTGAATTCTCGGTTCTTGGCCTGAGTCCTGGGTTTGGGTCGAGTCCTATTCAGAATGACTAGGAAAATCCCAACTTCAGGACTTTGGGGGTTTCAAATGGTGAATCTCTTCTTCCCTCTGAGCCCTCAGCTGGAATGCAGAATTCCTGGAGCCCAAAATGTGGCTGGGATCTATTTCTGGCCTGAATCCTGTGGGATCTCACTTGAGCTCAGTTTCTGGCCTGAATCCTGTAGGATCTCACCTGAGCTCAGTTTCTGGCCTGAATCCTGTGGGATATCGCCTGAATCCTTTGGGCTATCACCTGAACTTCCAGTTTCTAACCTGAATCCTGTAGGATTTCACTTGAGCTCAGTTCCTGGCCTAAATCCTGTGGGATCTCTCCTGAGGTCTCAGTTTCTGGCCTGAATCCTGTGAGATCTCTCCCAAGTTTGGTTTTTGGCCTGAATCCTGTGGGATCTCACCTGAACTCTGTTTCTGGCCTGAATCCTGTGGGATTTCTCCTGAGCTCAGCTCCTGGACTAAGTCCTGTAAGATCTCACCTGAGCTCAGTTCCTGCCCAAATCCTGTAGGATCTCACTTGAGCTCAGTTTCTGGCCTGAATCCTGTGGGATCTCTCCTGAACTTTCAGTTTCTGACCTAAATCCTGTGGGATCTCTCCTGAGCTCAGTTCCTGGACTAAGTCCTGTAAGATCTCACCTGAGCTCAGTTCCTGCCCAAATCCTGTAGGATCTCACTTGAGATCCTGGCCTGAATCCTGTAGGATCTCTCCTGAGCTTTCAGTTTCTGGCCTAAATCCTGTGGGATCTCTCTTGAACTCTCAGTTTCTGGCCTGAATCCTGTGCGATCTCTCCTGAACTCTCTGTTTCTCCTCTCCACTGTCCCTCTCCCTTGTTCTTCCTCCTCCTCTGTCCTCTGTCCAGCCAAACACCTCAACGGGTACCTGRCCATGACCAGCAGGGCCCATCGCTCTCGCCCCACAGGGGAGATCGTGGTCAACATGGAGCCCGAGGTGCCCATCAAGAAGATGGACACGATGGTGAAGCTGGAAGCTGTGAGTACCCGTGTGGCAGGAGC